ACTTGGTCAAACGCTTCTTGAGGGATGCAAGTCGCTTCTCTGCCAAACTTCTGTCATCCGGCAATCCAGGGTCATCTGCCTTGAAGGGAATGTCGTACACTGGATCATTTGCCTCCTTTGCAGCTTTATTGAGGAACTCAATCAGCTTGCTTATAATCAGATATTGACCTGTATCCTCAAGCATACTACTGGCTTTTGAGCGCAACTTGGATTGAAGGGCCTGTGGCATCCTCTTTGCTATGTCTCCAAGGCTTCTCTTAGTATTGATCTCCTCCAGCTTTCCCATCGTTCCAAGAGCAAGAGTGCAGCTTCTGAAGTCATAAGCCAAACCTTGGATTGCCTTTTTGTCACCAGGGGCAACACGAGGGCCTTCTGTACGTGAGCTTCTGGACCCAAGGTTCAGAAATCTTGTAGTCATTTCCAAACCTATCCCCAAGGAGCTCTCTAGCCTTCATTTAGCCTGCCTTTGGCTCCATAACCACACAGCGGATAACTGCCAAGGCATCACCTGTACAGGAATGGAATAGGCGATTGAGCTTCACGCCATCATCGACACTGGTGTTCCCCACTGTAGCATCAAAGCTGCGGATAAACACCCAATACTGGAATGGATCTCCGTCAAACCACTGTAGCATCAATCATCTTATGCTGCATGTTCAGTACCACACAACTATCGGAAGAGGGCTTTGTGGGCTGAGCTGATAGTGCTGACTGCACAGTCTGCTGCGGTGACTGCACGGCCTGCTGTACTGACTGTAGAGGCTGTCGTGCTGAGTGCTCTGGCTCTTGTGCTGGCTGCAATGGCTCTTGTGCTGGCTGCACTGGCTCTTGTACTGGCTGCACTGACTGTTCCGAATCAGAATGCGGGGACTCGTCTCGAGCGTCATTTAGCCACTGTCCCACCTTCTCCTTGGTTGTTGGTTGTTCTCCTTGATCGAGTCGCAATGAAAGAGAGACTGCAGTGATAAACAGCTGTCAGAGTCATTGAACTGTTGCAGTTTCTGCGCGACTGTCGATAAACCTAGCTCTGTGGTCACTGACGCCCCAAAAATAGCAGTTAGACTTGCGACACAAATTCGCCTGTCACTATGGGATGTTGACTCCGTTTAATCTGTGATATAAATCAATCAATACAATTTATCAAAACAAGGTTTTGAAATATCCGTGTGTTACACAAAGTCATGTATACAATATGCAACATAAATTGACCCAGCATTACAAAGCACATCGTTAAAAAACCGCCTACACTTTGACAGAAAATTACTAGCACTAGAAAGATTAACTCACGACTCTGCCGAGACTATAGGCTATCGCCAGCAGCAGAACTGCAGCTCCAAAGCAGTCACTTAACATTAATTTAGGCTTACATCGTTGAGACTTTCTGCTGCAATATCCAACGATGAGAAAACAAAATGTCGAGCCTGATTCACATCTCAGGAGTTGTGGTTAAAACCGCTTGTGTAAACCCACACGCGTGTATACATTATACATGTACAGACTGCGTGATGCACTCACAGTGACCTAGATAAGTATACATTTTGGACGCGCAGTTGTGAACGGGTGCCTCGATAGGCAACGCCTACAGATGAAAAATGAATGAAAGTTCATCCCTCACTTTTAAGTATGCGTGTGCAGCCAAGGGTATTTGCTGTTTATTGTCTGGCCGCCCATTGAGGATGCAGTGTATGACCGTTTGCAGGCTGTGACCCTCAGTTGTAGCTTACTTGATTAGCTCATGGGTTTTGCGAGTAATCGAGAGCATGTTGATCATTTGAACACTCCCGACTTCTTCCTCAATGGCTGAACGATTAGAGTTCTTAAGATATGCTCGTGAGAGAGTGTCAGCAAGATGCATGTCTTTTCCCGGTTTGTAGCGGATGTCAACAGTGTATCTCTGCAATCTGAGAAGTAATTGCTGAATTGGAGCATTAGCGAGTGGTTTGCGCGATATGGAGACCAATGATTTATGGTCAGTCCACAGTACTATCTGTCGATCATAAACATACTCGTGATTGCGTTCCAGTCCAAAGACTTGCGCGAGGAATTCTTTCTCAACCGGAGAATGGCGGGTTTCGGCTGGCGTCAGTACTCTGCTTGCATACATGATTGGTATGCCATTCTGGAAAAAGACAAACCTTAGTCCTCTTTCCGAAGCATCTCCTTGGCCCTCTGTGAGTACTTTGAGGTCAAAGTATGTGAGCACTGGTGCTGCTATCAGGCGTTGTTTCAGGTATGAAACGCCTGAAATTGTTCCTCAGTCCAACACCACTGAACATCCTTATGTGTTAGTCGACTGAGTGGCTCGCTGATGCCAGAGACATCTGGTAGGAATTTGGCAACATGTTTTATCATTCCCACCAATCTCTGCACTCCTTCCAAATCTGTTGGCTGTTCCATGTGGATAATGCCCTCGACCTTGTTAGAATCTGGCTGAAGTCCTGAGCCTTTCTGTCAGTGTCAGATGGATGTCACCTCATCAAACTTGTATTCAAACTTTGCTTTATTCAGTTTGATGTTCATTTGTTTGCGGCGATCAAGAAACTGTGTCATGTTTCTGTCATAATCCATGATAGCTTCATCAACTGTGCTACTTTGGGCTGTGATCAATATGTCATCAGCGATAGTGTGAATGCCTGAAAGACCTTCGAAGCACTGATCTAATCTCATCTGGAAGAGTTCAGGAGAGGTCGAGAGTCCGAATGGTAGTCGATACCACCGGCATCTGCCCCAATGTGTTTGGAAGGTTGTCAAATGAGATGATTCCTCATCCAACTCACATTGCTGGAATCCTTCTTTGCAGTCTGCTTTGCTGAAAATCTTGACCGTTTCCAGTTTTGGAAGAACATCATCAATAACTGGCAAGGGACAGTGCTCCCGTTTAAGAGCTGCTTTCAAGTGCTGTTAGTCTACACAGACACCAAGTTTTCCACTTGGTTTGAATACATTTATCAACTAGAAACCTAGTACTTTTCCCAGAGATCAAGGATCACACTGAACTTTTCCTTGTCATCATCACTCTTATAGGGAAGACCATTAGGCCCTATGGATAGGGCATTGCTACGAAGTGTAGTGATAAAATGGGTTGTACGCCGTGTATCAGTCTCCTTTATCAAATCCAGAAATAATCTCGTAGCTGTCCCAAACTTGTTCAATTTTTCCCAACTTGATTTCAGGATATCTATTTGCAAATTTAATGGCCCTGATAGTGGCGCTTTAGACCAAGAGTGAGGTCCCATTATCCTGATAAGATAAACTATTGATAAGTGTCAGTTCAACTTGTCAATATACAGCAAACTTCAATGTTAGAGTTGAGTAGTTAAGAAACTTCAAAATGATACTCATTTCATAGCATAGCATTTCTTTAGCATCAACAGTGTATTAAAACTAACAAGGCTTAATACAGTGTAACTGAAATAACTTCACACCGTTGTAGTGACAATGTACAGTGACAAGGTATGGAATTACAGTTGGCTAAAGACAGTAGGAACGCACAGCAATGGAGCGTGCACTCAACATTGCGAACGAAAGTTCTGACAGTTACTGTGAAAGTACCTGTAGTTGACGGAAGACAGCCCCAATGATAGTGCGTTCAGTTCATAGACGATTGCAGTTGCACGTAAAACAGGTACCATGCGTACATGAGTCCATGCAGAACGCGTTGAGATCACGTGGTCGGGTCGGTGACAACAAAGTGCTGCTGTTCGAGGTCAGCGATTGTTCTTGAACACGCCTGGTAAAGTGGGTCAGCAAACCGTGGATTGCGTGGAAGTCCGCTTAAATTCTGACACCATGTTTCGGTATCTTGTTAATCACTATATAGGCAGGCTGATGTCGGTAAAATATCACAGACAAAGGAAGGTCACAACTACAGTATGATTACATGATGCAGATTTAGGTCATGTTCAAATTAAAGCGACCTCATGAATGAATGAATGACTGCCCTAACAAAACTAAAGAGGGCGCTATCGTAACAGCTTGTTCTTCAGTTATATGAAAAATGATTGTGAACCTTGTACATGTACATGTTTGTATTTGCTGAAAAGTGTACATCTTGCAGAGAATGTCAGTGCATACATGTCCACAAATGTCTAACAGTTAGATCTTGTAAGCAAGGTGTGTTGATTTGACCATTGTTTTTCGGTGTAACTAAACAATATGTAGAGTGCAACACTTTATATTGATGTCAGATAAAAGTTAACGCTGATCTTAAAGTGACATTTTCTTCCCTTTCAAGGAACAAGTTAGAATTGTTTAAATGTTAGTATGTTTGAAATGATTAAATGTTACGGTGTATTATGCCCGTTTAAGGGGCTGGGCTGTAGCGGATGTCTACCAGTCACATTGGATATTGGCCATAAATTTAGAGACTGGGTATAGAGATTGGACACTGGACAACCATTGGTTTGTACAGCCAGTGTCTCAGTTTCTTCGACATTCGAAATTCACAAAGGTTTGTACAGCGAAACTCCTGTTTTGAGAGATTGGACATTCCTATAGGTTAAGCTAATGTCAAATATTTTCTTGACAGTGAACACTGGATATGAGACATTCAGTTAGGCTTCTACAGCGATCACCTCGGTTTTGAGAGATTAGAAATGCCATATAAACGAATGTCTCAAGTTTTTTCCCCAGACACTGAAAATTCAAATAGGTTTCTATACCTCAAATTCTTCGGTTTTGAGAAATTGAAAATTCGAATAAACTTCTACTGCGAATATCTCGGTTTTTAGAGATTGTACATTCCCAGACGTCTGTACAGCGAATGTGTAGTTTAGTTTCTTACTTTCTTGAATGTCTCAATTTTTCCTTACAATATCTTTGGTTTTGAGAGAATGAAAACTCATCTTGTTTGAAATTTACCAATGGCCGCACTTTCAACTGCAATGCCGAAGTTCTCAACCACTTCTTTCGTTGCCATGGCGATGTTTTCGTTTCCAGTCACGATGAAGTCAAAGGCGCATTGAGTGTCGTTGCCGCACAAATTCAAAACTCTGTTGTCAATGGGATCACTCATTGACCAAAAGAATGGTACAAATGCCTCGTTGCTGTAATCCGAAGGACTCTTCCCTGCAGGGTATCTGAACAGGGAATTCTCTGGTTTGATTTGCCCTGTGGATGAATAAACCGGGAAGCAAGGATTTCGTAAATTCAGGGACACACATTGAAAAGGTTTTAGCAGACAATTCAGCAATTAAATGACTTATTGTATCTGTCACTTGACTGCAGCGCCATAACACAAGAAGGCTTTCCTCAAATTAATCGTTCTTCAAAAATGTTAACATACGACTCATTTGTTATACTAGGCAGAGTGCAAAGTGGGAACCAAATTGACGAACGGTAAGTGCTTTTCCAGCAAAGTCGTCTTAAAGAATTATGTTGGATACGTTTAAATTAACTGTCATTATCCAATTTTTTGAATAATAATTTCTAAGTTTTAATACCTTTTGCGTAGTTGGAAATGTTACTTTGTATGGTAAATCTTACATTGTTGACCAAATTCGTAATGTATTTCTTGCACCGTCGCATCGGTCGAAAGAACTGTTCCGTCGGGTCTCTCGAAGTCGTCGTTTTCCTCTCCATTCCAATTACCGTACAGTCCTCTAGTTCGCCCCTTCAGTTCTTCTCGCAAAGCAGTCATTACATTTAGCAGCCCAGCCGTAGTTGAAACAATAAACGATGCCCCACACTCAAAATTCACTTGAACGGCTTTTACTGTGTCATTTGCTTTTTTGAAGATAACGATCACACCTACGATTTTGTAGAAGAAAATGATAACAACACTTTTGTGCGTCGAGTGGACTGGAAGACTCCTTAAAACATTATATAATTTTAAGGAGTCCCAAAAGACAGGGACTAAAATATCAGATCATATTTACCTTGAAGGTCAACCTGCCTTATCTGTGTCTCGTCGATGTGTAGCATCAACCAAGTACTGTCACTTCTCATGTTGCGGTACCACACATCAATACCCCGCCTCTCGCTGACCTCAACATGAATCTGGTCAGACCTACCGGATTCGATAGCCGCTAACGCTGTTATAACGGTTGCAGCACCTCCTGTGAAATCAGGTTCAAAATACCGCCGAGGTATTGGTATGATATGGGTAAAGGTATGATATCTTAAAGAAAGAGTACTCTTATCGTAACCACTGACAGAAATATGTTGTTTTGTGGATCTCTTTTTAACTGAGGAAAGGAACGGTGCGCAGATGCATGAAGAACCCCCCCCCAAATGTGTAGATCTCTAAAACGTGTATGATTGAAAGAAAAACAGATGTGTAATTAGTTCATAAGGAGAGTAGAGGAGTTGTATGTGGAAACCATCTCTTTTCGCCACTGGCAGGGATGATCTAAGGGACAATGCGAAAAATCAAAGGCCTTTATTAACATGACTTATAAGCTCAAAACAATTTTTTAAGAGTAAGCAAAGACAAACCTACCGGACTGCAAAACTGTCATCCGTGCCTGAAAAACGAACGAACCATTGCAGGCTTCCAACATGGTGTATTCACCAACCCCATTAAAAGTGTATTTTTTGCCATCAAGTGTGGTCAAATGGGGATCACCGGTGCTAATAGCTGTAAATGGTGAGACAATAGGAATTTTTCCGGTAATAGTAAAGAAATGTCATAGGGTTGGAAATGTGGGACCGGGGCATCAGGCAACGAAAAACCGACGTCATGTATTTGAAATCTAGACTGTGTGAAACGTAACTTGCAAGGCCTAACCCTGCAAAGAACAATAAGCATGTAAGGTTGGCAGTTATAATGTGAGTGTAAATTTTATTTAACCAACAACTCAGCATCTGCAGGCTCCAACCAAAGTCTGCTAGCTGGGCCGTATTCTGGAAAACGCGGTACCAGTTCCTCTCCTCTTGGTACAGAGGACGACCAGACACAAGGAATCACTGTTTTCCTCAAGCTTCTCATTAGATTCTCAGTAGATTTTATTAAAGAACTCCACGAATGTATAAATTAAGTACACATGGGGAAATAATGGCATTTGGGCTTACCCATTACAGGTGCCCTGTAATTCTCGCAGGTCTGTGAGGGTCGAACAGATACGTATGCATCACACATCGTCTGGTTGGAAAACAGACAGCAGTGCTCCCTCGGCAATAGGTCTGACATCCAATGAGAAAGGAGTGGAACATGGCCTGCAGTCTTGAATATTTGGGCAATATCAGAAAATTAAGTACAAAAATATCAGGAATTCTATATTCAGTTGAGTTCAAAGGGAGAAATGCTTTGGATCGAGTTTTCTTAGAGGGATGTTTGAATCAGAAAATTTCATACCGATCTTCCCTGGTTTAGGTGGAAGAATACTGAAAGAAATAATATCAAGTTGTTGTGTTTGGGGTTGTAAGACAAGACGAAGTGCAGATTCCAAAGAGAAAGGGATCTGGTTCTTCAGATTTCCCAAATACAGAAAGCAGCGAATGGAATGGGTACAGTACATGTATATTGATCATTAGTACGTGTTTACAAATGCACAAGTTGGCTCCAAGAACAGTAACGATGTAATTCATACTACTTAATATGATGGAAGGGGCCATACTAAGAAACAGCAATCCCGTGCGCACATGAAAAGCCACGATTATAAAGTCTTTTTATGGAGCACTAAAAATCCCACTTGGATTAGAAACTAATAGCAAAAACGATTTTATGGGATTTTTCGAAGAAAAGCTTAAAGCCAGAAACGTAAGAGAAAACAATCATTAAAGTTGCACTCGTGTAGCTTTTCAATGGTCCGCTCACACCTCTTCCCGCCAAGGCCATTTGTGCGCATGCGTGCATAATTATGAATTTATTAGTGAAAAGGTCTATCGTGCCACCTGTGCACAGTGCACGTGTGTGCACCGTGACTGCGATCCGATCACTTGAAGTTTTATTCTGTGAATGCTTCATATGCTGAGAATAGAATATAATTAAGCTTGAACAATAACTTTGTTGGTTACATTTTGGATAGTTGCAAAATGTGTACTGTCCCTAGAACCCTTGAAGTGGACTAGCCTTTATTAATTTTGGTATCATAAAGTTGTATTTTTTCCCATTTTTTATCTAAAAACCAGTCCAAAGTCAATTTCCATCTCTGTTCAATTCAACTCAGTCATCCTTGAAACGTGGTGTCCTCACCAGTTTCTGAATAGTGTATATGTACTGTAGTTTGGTTTAATTCGTGTTTAGATCAAGTTTAATTCCTGTGTAGAAAATGAAATCCAATTGTGGCACTCGCAGAAGAAAGATTTTTAACAATTGGGAATACTGGATAATCCAGTTTTGAAGAGGACACCAGATAGGTCTATGTATTTTTAACCCGATCCTTGACAGCAGCTTAAATGAATGGTAAGATGCACAACTAAATAAAACAGGAAACGCTTCGTTTATGCGAATGGTTTTGGAGCGGGATGAAGTCTGTTTGTACGTGTCCTTTATTGTAGCATATTCACAATTATTACGGAAACCCCGACCAGATTTTCAGTTGCTGCCACTGCGGCCAGACCTGCGGATCCCGCATCGGTCTCATGAGCGTGCTTGCTGTCAACTTGGACCACAACCGGACCTTCATGATCATCTTCGTTCGCGAAGCCATAGGCAAAGCCAAGCCAAGAAACACGGTGCATGCACACACATCATTATACCGTTCATACTGCACTGCAACCGAATAAAACATTACTTAAGTATAATAGTACAGGCCAAGAAATGAACAACCGAATTTTCAGCTTTTCATGAATGACATTTTCTGGCGTGATCGGATCGCGGTCACGGTGCACACACGCACACTGTGCTCAGGCGGTATGGTGGGTCATTGGAGTTCGGTTGAGCAGTAGGCCTTGTGCATTTTAACTCACCCACCTACGGAAAAAATCGCATCCGCATAGGGCAGACTTAGCACGCGCGTCCAAATGACCTCTTCTTTCAGCCTGCGCTGTTAGAAACCGAACTTGCTCATAATAACTGTACATTTCAATATCTAAAAAAAGGACTGAAAGAGAGCTCTTGAATGACGTTTCCCTTTAACAGAGGCCTCTCCTGATGCTTGTATTTAAATGAAAAGAGCAAGTCCATGAGGATCAGTTTTTATTATGTGGAAATGTAAAGAATTTTACCGCCAATATTTGGGCCTACAAAAGAGTGATGAAAACTTAGAGCAAACAGAGGAATAACGTTAAATTCATCGTTTTCGTGTGAGATGGAGGCTCTTTTAAATAGAGCCTGAAAGTTGACCCCTAATGGCGCGCTTCCGGAACCCTCGGATAGGAAACACAACGTGCAAAGATTTTAGAATTTGAAATATTTTTTGTTCAGTTACTTCTTTAAAAATCCAATTCAGAAAAGGGGCTTTGGGAAATATTTGGGAGTATATCAATTTAAAGAATCTGAAAAATCACCTGACCTAAAAGAGAAATATCCTGCCCAAAATTGACCCATCACTTCCGAAAATCTAAAGTATACGAAGAACAGTGCAATAAGGCTGTCTCGTTCGCAGATGAACATGTACGGTTTGAAATTTTATGGTAGTCTGTCGGTAAAAGCCGAAATAAAAAAACAGATCAAAATATTTTACACAGTCTTATAATTTATAAGTAATAAACTTAAAGCAACATTCTACTTCAATTACGAAAGATTCTAATCTTTTATCTAACCTTTGCTGACAACAACTGCGTGATGCCAACCCAACGGAAGCTAGAACCCATCGACTGCAAGTAGGTAAATCTTTGCAACGTTGTACAATCTCGTTTTCACGTACGAGCAGTGAAAACAAACGTGTGTGAACATGGAGACCTAGGCACAATATCGCCGGAAGTGAAAGGTCGTTAAGAAAATTTGTTTTTACCCATCTCCATGTGACTCTTCCTATATATTACTTGAGGAATACAAAGGTAAAAGTTAGGAATTATTCTTCCAAAAATTATCGAACGTGATAGGACGGCCTAACGTAAAATCCCCACAGGAGGTCCGCGCGAGGGTTCCGGAAGCTCGCTGCGTGACCTTTTACTTTCAACTTGAGGCTCTATTGCATACTGTAGACAAGATGTACATACATTGCAGTGTGGCCCCCCACGCTAACAACGTTTCGAATTTCCACGACCAGGCAAGTTTAGAATTCGGTCATCCAAATGCACCACTGCATGAACTTATTTTACGACCAGAGTCTGGTGGTAAATGCCAACTTGCCATTACAATCCTCACTCTCATTGTGTATTTACCTGAAAAGGCGTGACACCTCTATGATGCCTCCTCTGGGCAAAACCACCGCCTGTTGTCTGCGCAACGTTTAAAATATTGCCGTCTTCTCCATAGCAACACTCTTGTCCTCCTCCTGAACTGCTGTGTATGTAAAAAGAGACGAAAAAGGCTGCATTTCCTTGTCTCCTGTGATTAATTGTGGATAAGGTATCCAAGATTAAAATCCCCTTGTTATGCTTGTCATTCTGCAAGAAATCCTTAGATTAATAATTGGCAAACCATTTCGCAGGCGAGAGGCAGCTATAGAAAAACTCCTGTTACCAAATTACCTCAATCCTACCGATGGTACCACAAGCAAATGTTCATCACTAGATCGCAACTGACACACGGGTTTATATGGTGAGATAGGTTCCCCCATGTAGTGAGCTAGGTGTAGTGTCCTTTTGCTAATCAATAGGTTACAAGAAGGATCTTGTATATTACGCGTTGGTAAACAGGGAGCCATTGAAGTTGTTTTCAAACCACGGTGATGTGATCGAATTTTTTAACATGTCAAGATACAGGCTGAAATGTGTTGTATTAGCTGAAGAAGATTAATTAAAAACAATGATAACAGCATAATAGCATAATAGCACCATATATCCAAAATAATCTGCTTATAGGCGCAGTACAATCAGTTAAATCTAACCAACAAAAAGTTTAAAATGCATGAACATAGTAATTAAAAGTTAAACACAAAACAACACACACAAAAAAACACACCTATACAAAACAGACAAAAAGAGACGGACCAACCACCACAATAAAGACAACATACCCAGCCAAAATACCGCAACCCACCAAACAACCGACCAACAGACCATTTAACAGACTAAAAAGTAAAACTTAATACATAAACTGTCCATAAAACTGTCTGAGAATGCAAAGTTCCCAGTTAAAGATTACATGATTACAGATGAACAATATCTAACTAAACCTAATTGGTTGATGGAGGAAGCCGAAAGTCCGTATGATAAAAGGGAATTGCAGTAGACCGGCCTTGAAGTCACAAAGGTATAAATGAGCTGTTCAGCTGTTTTATAAGTAAGCTTTGAACAAATGTGATTAATCTTTCTCAGGTTAAACATGGCAAAACGGGTGGTGTTTCTCACATGATCCTTGAAGTTCAAATTTTTGTCAAAGATTACACCGAGGTTTCATTGCTTTGCACGGTGTTGTTGCAACGACGAGACGAATTCAAGATGAATGTGCTGGTTTTATCACTGTTGAGTTGTAGTTTGTTTGCTCCATCCAGTCTTTACCGTCAGCAATACATGCTTCTACTCGGGCTACCGCTGCATCTGCATCCACTGAGACGAAAGGTAAGTAGAGCTGAGTATCGTCAGCATAAAGCTGCACAGATAGTCCGTGTTTACACGCGCAGTGGTAGGCACAGGTGAGAAATATAGCGTAGAAACAGTTTGGACCTACTTGTCTCCACGAACGTCAATTTTAATCCCTTTTATGAGACGGTCAATTATATAAGAGATCTTGTTTGGCCACTGAGTATCGTTTCCTTGGGATTCTTATTTTGCAAAAAGGTCCTGGGTGTATTGTAAAGCGATGCTTTACTGTTCTCTTAAATTTTAGCCGATGCTTTCCCGGAATCCCAGGGAACCAATCAGTGGCTTAGTTTGAGCCTCGTTTTCATGACGAAATTTTACCGAGAATTTAAAAAATGGCGCTCCGAATCCAATGTTTAGAAACGTTAGTGTAAAATGTTGTGTTTACACCATGTAGGTGGCTGTAACATGCCTTTAGATACAAGATACATTTTTTTAAATGACCACTCGAGCTCCGAACCGAGACATTAGCTGTAGAAACTCATGGGAATGTCCAATCTCTCCAAACCGACACATTCGCTGTATGTAGAAACCTATGGGAACGTCCAATCTCTCCAAACCGACACATTCGCTGTAGAAACACATGCGAATGTCCAATCTCTCCAAACCGAGACATTCGCTGTATAAACCTATGGGAATGTTCAACCCTTCCAAACAGAAATGTCCGCTGTGGAAACCCACGGGAACGTCCAATCTCTCCAAACCGAGACATTTGCTGTACAAACCCACAGGAATGTCCAATCTCTAAAACCGAGACATTCGTTGTAAAAACCCATGGGAATGTTCAACCTCTTCAAACTAATACAACCGCTGTAAAACCTTTCGGAATGTCCAATCTCTCAAAACCGATACTTTCGCTGTAGAAACCCATTGGAATGTCCAATATCTCCAAATCGAGACATATTCGCTGCACAAACCCACGGGAATGTCCAATCTCTCAAAGCCCACACATTCGTTGTAGAAACCCATGGGAATGTCCAATATTTCCAAACCGAGACAGTCGCTGTAGAAACCTGTGGGAATGTTTAACCTGTCAAAACCAAGACATTCGCTGTCAAAATACCAAAAAACACGCCAGCAAAAATTAAGACTGATTTCATGGAGAGGCATCATTCTAAAAAAAAAAACAGTTAAACTGCCACCCCATCGCCAGCGCGCTAACTTCTTTTGACACAGCACTCGACACCACGGAAATGGCTACCTGCTTTTACCCTGGAATGAGATTATTTGCATATCTAAATATAATTATTTTGGATGGGCCTACGTATAGGTTGAGGAATGATCTGGTGTATGACCACGTTTTAGCAAGCGATATCTGCAGCCAATTCTTTGCGCGATGTTTTAAAAGACCAAAAGCTAAAATCTCATCCAACCAATAGCAGTAGCACATGTTTTGAATAAGTATAACCAAATGGAGAATATTGGATCGTTTAAAAGGAAAGTAAATGCAATGATTTATAACAGACGTGAACATGCTTAATATGCTTTGGAATTTCTTCGCTATTGCTGCATTGAATCAGGGTAAAGAAAGAAAGCTTCCTATCTAGAGATTACAATTGGAAGGCAAATAGGAAATAAAGTAACCGGTAGGTTCGAGGTTGGTTACATCGCGCATTTCTATTTTTCCCGGTATTATGTCGCCAATATGTACGACGCAGTTTCTCGGGTTTATCTGACAGAGCGTTAAGGACTGTTTCCCAAAAGGTTTTTTAAATAAGCAAATAATCTTTTAATAAGCATGGAATTGGGCTTTGAATGAAGAACAGTGATTAATCATCTTAGAACTTCAATATGCAAATCAAATATAATCCCTTGTATTAATTGAGTTCTTCCTTTTTCTCCTTTTTAAGGTGAGCGACGGATATGGATAACAATGCTCCGGTTATTGAAAGAACAACCTTCCACTGTTGAAATTAGCTTTATTAACGTTTTGGCAAAAACTAGTAAGCGTAAGAGTGCTAACCTAGGTCTTTCAGCTCTGACACATTCAACGGCTCCTGGCCTGAATGACTCACAACCTTCTACAGAATTGCAAGAAGGGTCGTTGCTGAACATATTGAAATTGAATTGAGCCTGAGTCTGCGTGCAAGGACAAGGCTCAGTCACTTGGAGGAAGTTAACATCCGATCCCTCATCATTCAACCAGTCTTGGCACCAGGCTGAATGGTTTGAAACGGGGTAGAGCCAGTGGAGGTTGTGTACGTCACTCCAAAGTCCCGGCAGTGCCCTACAAAAAAAAAGACAATCTGTCTTACCACACCATAACGATAAAAGGAGCGCTGGCTAGATGTTTTGGAAGAATAGTGGCAGGTTGTTTCATAGATTGTTTTGACAAAACAAGTTAGGAAGCTAAAACCATCATCACGTTTGGAAACTAGCAACACATCTTCATGTCCAAGTGAGAGCTAAGTGGTTGTGTGTCGTCAGAAAATATTCCCCAATAAACTTTTGGACCTCTCTTTCATTTCAAAGTCTTTCAAAAGGTCTACCATAATGAAGCTTTTACTGTCAATGTGAGCAATGGCCGAAAACAAACATAGGCGTATAGCATGCTCTTTTGTGATACCGGTAACAAAACAACGTTACACTCGTCAAAGCCCATTTGTACAGTAGGGGGCAAGTTTCTGTACCATAGACACAAGTTACCCTGGTGTAATTTTTAAACAGTAGCAACCAAACGTAAATCCTGATTTGAGAAAAGGCGTGCAATGAAAAATGCGATAAGCATGGGAAAGTGCATGCAAACATGTTTGTTTTTTCTCATTAACGTGCTTAATGCGCGTCACTGAGGTCATTAAGTCATAGAGAATGGACGAGGACTGTAGATTCGTGCAAAGAATGGGCGAAGCGAAGCCGAGCGAGGCGAAGTGAAGGCGAAGCCGGGCCCATTCTTATGTACGAATCTACTGTTCCGAGTTCTATTCTCTGACTAAAACTATTTCCCATTGTTACACGAACATATAGAGTCCTGAGTCTATATGACGCTCTCTCTGTTAACCCTTCGCCTGAGCTGAGTGAACACCTTTGTCCCGTTTGTGCACGGGTTTTGGCAACGTGAAACACTGAGAGTATTTGTGCAGTCAACACCTTTAGTGCTGGATACATATCTCTTCTCTTCTTTTTGCGCCTTGGAGTAATTATTACACGTGTGTCATTGCAGCAAAATCTATCGGATTAAAACCGCACAGGACTCTATGAAATTGAGGTATGCTACATCAACTTCATAAAAGTATGGTTAGCACTTTTCAAACCACTTTATAAACCACTCAAAATGAAATCCACTGATCCTTACATGTTCTTATATATGAATCATTCCGAAATGCCCACTTACGACATTTTGCTATTTCGTTTGGAGAATGAGCAACTTTGGATTGAAATTAAGATGCAAATGTTGAAGTTCAATGATAACAACGAAAAATTTTTATAAAGCGCACATATCCACCTAAAGGGTAATCTACTCGTTGTTACTGAACTACAGTAACTGTAGATTCCTAAATATAATCTACACAAAGGAGTTACGTCACAGAAATAGTTAAACTGTAAAGACTACAACAACACAACCTTGTGTTAAATTGAATCAAAACTCTGGAGATCTGCTAGCTATGAACGTCGAATGGGTAAACATGAAGTTTGGTTTAAATGTTTGCTTCTTTGTTTCACACTGGGCAAAACGCCTTTCACTAGGAGAAAGACAAAGTTAGCGCCTATAGTTTATTTTTTGGAATTATGGTGCGGAGTGTTTACATTTGTAACAACCTGCCGAAGTCCCCCCCCCCATGGGAACCTGTTAAATGGGAGATTTGAGGACACCACATGTATACCTTAATATTCCGCACAACCGTTTTGCATGCACCATATTTTTAATGCAGCTTAAGCCCGCACACCCATACGAAACGGCTAAACTGAACGAAGTTTAAATGTACTGCAGAAATGACAAGAAATAATACACGCTCGACACTTCTAAACTTACAGCTCCAAGTCTGTGTCTTCATGTTGGCTGTACTGCGACACACGGATGGCCCCAACTTCGTACTGGACTCCTTCTGGGGGGTTAGGACGACTAAAGCTAAATTCGCCATTACTGTAAGGAACCATTTGACTGCTGCAGTTTACCAAGTAAAGTTTCACCTCTCCTGTTGTTAAATTCTCGTCGTAACTGTAGACAGAGACCCGAACAAAGTCGACATAGTCTTGAAGGGACTCCGTGTCCCACGTGACTGTCAGACTTTCCTGTTTGTACCAATCGTTAGCTTCCTGTCTGGTAACCAATGGAGAGACGTCTTCTGGGCTTACTGTAAGTGGCCGAAAATATTCCCCATCATCAAAAAGAAACAAAAAACAGCGAAATTCTCATTTATGACCTGATGTTACTTAAGATGTCATATTTTTTCTTGCATTAAAAAAATTAGAATTAAAAGCCAGACGGAACAGGTGTGTTTCAGCAAACACGAGGTGGCCTGGTGATATCGATTTCAGTTTCATGACACAACAGAATGTTTATGCACGTCATCAGGAAATCTAGTTGGTTTCATTTGTGCAAGATGAGGTATACGTATATTAAATCTAATTAAAATAAAGACAAACTGGTTATCTTGAAATTTGTTCCTTTAATAACTTGCGGGATTAAGACGTCATTATTGTCAAACTTCACAAAATAATTTGTGTCTAACAAGGGATTGCGTCCCTTTTGTGGAACTATGTATGGCAAAAAAATTCAAATGTAAAACAATAATGGTATTGATGTCTCGTCCTCACCATTTTGTCTTTGGTTGGTAAAGAAAAATGACTTTCAAACTATGGCCTAGTCCAAAACATGAGGTGAAGTGACTTTTTATGGCTACAAGAAATGCTGCCAGGTCTCTAAATACAAACATGTTTTTTCAATGAATTCCAAAATTGTTGTTAAAAGCTTTTCCTTTAATTTCCAACTTAAATGACTTCTAATTTGATACCTGATGACATGTCTGCACAAAGTTTCACGTTAATATCCTAAATTGTTTATATGGTATTGATCAAAGTATTCATTTAAGGTTTCTATGCATCTAATATATACCTGAACGTCGACCTTCATTAATCCCGGAAGCAAATGTCGGGCGACTTTGGCAACCCAGGCAAAAATAATGCCAAAAAAAGGAAAAAAAATCTTTCAGGTCCAAAAATATGAACTCTGCACCTGTATTTATATTTAATGAATTACATCTGATAGAACTTGCTTATACTTAACGCTAATTGTGTTTACGATTTTATACCTATGACGTTATCCTGACAAAGTAATACTTGTCCACAGTCTTTCAACCGTCGGCGGACTGAGGACTGTTAAGGTTTAAGTAATAAGTTCGGTTTGTTTCATTCCTCATTAAATTACAGAAGAAACTGAGTTAATACTCGAGTCGAGTCATTGTAATCGAGTGACTCGACCCGAGTAATTGGCAAACTCTTTAATTAGAAATATATGCCCTTTACTTTTCTGGGAGGCCACAATTTGAGGGTTAGTAAAATAATCGGGAAGTCCGATGTCACATGGAAAGCTGTCCCTCAACGGTCTGTGGGACAGAATTTCCTTGGCAAACATGTTAACCAACCAAGGGATTTTGCCCTCGGGAATCTTTCCCATTAGTCTTAATCGATTGACATTATGGTCTAATCTTCATTAGTTTTTCGAATGTTTATCGAAATTTGATACTTGTAACTCAAAATAGGACTGACTGTCTTATATTTTCTTTTATTCTTTTATTTTGGTGCATTGTAGGTGCACATGAGTATTTGTATATATCCGTCGTACTAAACAAGTGATTTTAATTGCGCTGAAAGCGAAGTATGGGCTATTCAAAGTCGCTTCGTTGTACCAATGCGAACAGCTTCAAACTTGCATGGCAGTTTCCTATTGGACACAGAAACTTCCCTACCAATCTATTTTATTTGTTCTTCATGTTAGCCACATTAATTTCACCTTGTTTTGTTACATTTTGTATTATCTAGCAAAACGTGTGGAATGAGCGGAGGACTGTATGAGGAAAGTTAAGTAAAGTGGTTCTAGCGATCGAGTCGCGCGTAGGGGAAGTCATTTCCTGTGGGAGAAACAACAGCCCAGATAATCCAGGCAAATTTGTCCGGCCCAGAGACAGAATCTTCGTTCACGGTGGCACTGAGTCCATCGTAGATTTAAGATTTTAACCAAATAACTCACGATATGTGAACACGCCGCTGAAATCAAACGACTCTCCATTATTTGTTGACATCTTCAGTGATACGCGACCGATTTGGAACACTGGTGGGCTGACGCATATTGCTGTAGTGTTGGACACCACCTGTCCGGTAACGTTTACACCAGCGAAGCGGCACATGATGGAGGAAGTTTCGTTGAGACAGGGCCCTGACATTCGGATAATGTCACCTCCAAGCATGGAGCTGTAAACCGGGAATATTGTCAGGGATCCTGTGAATGTAGAAGAAAGAAGCCTATCGTGAATAAATTATTGATATTACCTCATAAACAGACTTTGGAGCAGCACAAACATTTTGTTTACACTGTCTTTTATATCTATATATTTTTTTGGACAACCGCCAACTCGAGAACAGAGTCGGTTCAGTAGCCTAATTGATATGCAGACAAATCAGACCTTCGAAGAGTCATTAACAGACTAATCGGCAGACTACCCATATTGGTTATAGTCATATAACCCAACAGGTTATAGGTTATATGGATCGACACGAGGATGACTTGGGACAAAGTTGTACTATAGTTGATGTGGTTTATTCGGCTGGCTCGATGTGCGGCTCTCTACTCAATTGCCAGAGCTCATGGGGATTTTATACATTTGCTGGACATTCCATTTTTCATCCATCATACAAATTTCCTTGCCTTATTAGGTATTAGCTACTAGTCTTTGAATATTAATACAGCGTGCATGAATATGTCTGGTTCATTTGGATTTGAGGGTAGGGTTAGTCAAATTAATGAACACTGACGTTTCCTTATAAGGCCGGTGGGCTGCCTCATGACCCATCCGGTCCAGCCCTGCTTTCCTCCCCAAGGGCCTTGTGGGTGCAGACCACTAATTCAAGTGAGAATTTCTGAGCATTAAAAGTGGCCCCACAGTATCTTTTGAAAAAGGAGATTGTTTGGCCCCCAAAATGGTGAGATTTTGTAAATCGTTGCCAGGATCAACTCCCTGGGTCTTTGAGCTTTCATATGAGGGCAGAAGGGCTGAAAACTACGGTTGAAAAATGGTCCTAAGTGCCCGAGAAATTTGAGGGTTGCCACTTGAAAAATGGCTGCAATCAGACTTTGGAAAAATCACTTTTTGGGGGGTGATTTTGTTATGTGGAATAAT